GCGCACGCCGGAGGCTCCTGGATGAGCAGGGATCCCTGCAGGGGTGGCGTGGCCCCCCGTCCTTCCCGCCTGACGTCTCTTCCTGAGCCCCACGCTGGATCATGCAGTGCTTCCGAAGGCAACCCAAGCGCAGCGTGTCCCAGGAAAACATCCTACGGGAGCAGAGCCGTAGAGTGGCCGCGTTGAACGGCATCAGGCTGGGTAAGGGACAAGTTGGCCAGACCCTCGGCAGTTCCACACGCTGGCAGCCGCTTCATTTCTGCCTCTTTTCCCTGTGCAGAAGCAGGGCTCCACCCTAAAGGCAACTCCAAAGTTATTTTTAAACTCCCGAGGTTTCTTTTCCTTTCATTTGCCTGTAACCACCCGCCAGATGTGTAAACCACTTCATTTGAGGCATCAAAGAAAGTGGGACCTCTTTGGCAAAGGGTCGGTTTCCAAATCTGTTGCTGGGCTTTCTGAACTGTCGCTGGTTGAGTGTGTTCGGGGAAGGCCGTGCCCTTTTCCTGCATGATTTTAGGACTTCTCAGTGGTGTATTGCCTGTTGCTATTAGAGCCCGAGGAACCACTCAGAGGTCTGCATTCACCAGATGAAAAGAAAGGGGAAACCCAGGGAGTTTCATAACTTCTGTGTCTAGCTGTGAGCTCATGGCTGGTTCCTGCTCTCTGGAGAGACAGCCCAAGTGGATGCGAGTCCCTTGATTTCCGTGACTATCGGGAGCAGGAGGAAATGGAGAATCGCCATTTACCCACCTGAGTTCTTTGGATTTTATCAGAAAGGCTTTCTGCCCTTTTAAACTGGCAAACCTGAGTTATGTGTGTTCTTAAACCAGGTGGGAGAGGGAGAGCAGGCAGGAGGAGGCTTGTTCTATAGCAGTTGTAATTAACATGTTTATATCAGATCAGCAGATTTGCGAGTGAGCAATGCAGAAATATGGGTTATCACTGTCTTCTGTAGACATCATTCTATCTATCTCCTTAGTGAACTCAAAGCCTGGCTTCTATCGTGACAGCTGTTGTTTTATTGTGTTTCCTGCTTGCTGTAAACCTGAGATGGATAGTACAAAGGTTAACATTTTTGATGTCTTAGTGTCTAAAGCTTCATAGTGCAGTGTATTAAATTCATGGTTATGGCAGTGCTGTGTGTGCTTGAGGTGCTCCTGCGTTTGCCAAACATGATTTTTACTCTGAACATTACTGCACACTAAATATATTCTGTTTAGAAAGTGTGTGATTGATATTTTGCGAGGAGGGGGACCTGACCCTTGAAATGCACTCTGCAATTTTGCATGCCAAGCATGTATTTGGTATTTCACAGAGGATGCTGAGCAAGACACAGTCCTGCCACATGTTTCAGGCAGGATTTGGACATCTATTTCAGTGTCGTGATTGTGCTTCTCATGCCTAGTATTGTTATATAGTTGGAAACAAATATCCTTGTCCTTCTGCACAGTGTTTTTTAATTTTTAAATGATGTAGGTGTATGATGACTCTGGTTTCTTTCATACAAGTTTCCATTGCTGTGAGATGGAGCTCTGGACCGCAAACCTCCTCAGCTCCATGGGGTTGTTATGCAGAAATGCTCAGGAGCTGGTTCAGGCATAAAACCTGAAATGAGGTTTCTCTGGGAAAAGTTGTGGTTTGTTGTTTTGTTTTTTTTTTTTTCTGGAAAGCAGTTCAAATGACCAGCTGAGAGTAACGTCCCACTGGCACATCAGGGGTGCATTTGTAGTTCTTGTATCAGCAGATCAGAGCGTTTTCTGCTCCATCTCTGGCCTAACAAAATGCTGGTGCTTTGTAGATAGAAATAGAGAAGCTAAGTGACTCACCCAAGGTCATTTAAAGAGTCTGTGGCAGTGCTTTGGACTGGGCATAGGAGGCAGGACCCAAAACACTGGCCCTCTTTCCCGGCCAGTTTAGCTGTCTGAGCTTGAACTGCTGCTAGACAGACACAGAGCAGGCCTGAAACAGGCTGTGCCCACCCGGTTAAGGGGATGCCCCTCCTTCCTCTGGGCCCACCGTCGAGTGGTTCAGTCAGTCCTTGGGGTCACCACTGGCAGAGGTGGTCAACCCTGGGTGACTGCTCTCTATCTGAAAGGCCTCCCACATCAAAGGAATGACGGAGCTGTTAGACACCCATGATTAGCCCTCTCGCCCTTTCCTGGACAAACCCGCTGTCTCTTAGAGGCAAGCTTGTCTCCATCCCCTCCCCGGCTTCTCTCACTGGCCTCTGACTCACGCTTCTTCCATCTTTGATCTTTGCAATGCTTTCACCATGCACCATCTCTCTTCATCTTTTCCTCCTGCTCTTGTGAAGTGCAGTGACTTTGCTGAGTCATTTAACCTGGCCTGGTCCTCAGGTTAAATGGTCCTCAGGCCTGGTCCTCAGGCACAGAGGCCGAGGATGAGTGGGAGTGCTGCTTCCAACCCATAGATCCTCTGAAGAGGAAGGGGAGTTTTGACCCACGCTAATGCACTGACTGGGCTATGCTGGTGAGCAGGATGAAGGGCTCTGGGCTCCAGTTTGTGTCTGATGTGTGGATCAAGCTGGAGGAGAGGAATCTGCCCTTCACCACTGCCTGTGCCCATCCAGATTTGCCTGTATTACATTGGGGCAGCTCTTTTGTCTGTGTAACAAAACATGCCACAGTTAACAGGGATTTCTCATTACACGCTTATGCACATAGGCAGCCAAAGGAATTGATGTTTTTCCTGCTTTCCTCCTCATATCACCTGAGGATCGCGTGTCCTCCTCCTAGTCCCATAACAATACCTCGCGTGGTTGGGATCTGAAGAAAGAGAGGGAATGAGTCTGGGAGCCAGAACAGAAATGTTGTGGGTGAATACAGAGAAGGAAGAAATTTGTTTCCTCTCCGGGAACCTTGAGGGGTACCACAGCGATATTAGTGAGGTCGAAGTCTGTGGTATCTTCTCTGCACTTGGAAGACCTTTGCCTCGGAGAAGAAGCCTCAACACCACAGCTCAAGAGACCAAGGACCTGTGAAGCTGTTGTGGTATCTGTCCTTCCTCTGGATGGTCTGGCCTCTTGACAGCCCCTGGGTATGCTTGAACCTCAGCAAACCCAGGAGGGTGTCTCAGATCCCATAGCTGGCGTCAATCTTTCACCCTTCCATGCTTTGCAGGAGATGGCTTTTTTCCTTCTCTCCATGAGTTTCTTTCTGAGGTTTCCAGAGGAGGAAGCGTTCAAATTCTCCTCTTGGGAACCTCCAGACCAGACATGAGGTGAAAGGCCCAAGGGGTGCTGTAGCATGTGAAGACACTTAATTAATGAGATAGTTAATTGAATGTAGAGGAAAGAGAGAGGCCACAGCCACCTTTTCAGGATCTCCAGCTCCTACTGGGGCACTTTCAGCTCTGGATGCCTCAGCCGGGCATGCTGCTTGGCATCTGTAAAGTGGGGTGAGCGGCTCACTGAGTGGACACTGGACACCCCTAATATTTATCTCTGACGGAGATCTCAGGCTTTCTTTGGCAACCTAAAATGCTCTCTTTGGGCCAACATATCCCAGCTACAAACACATGGTGCTGCTTTTTGCTGCTGCCACCATAATCCACCTTGGTGGTCTGCAGCACCTGGCACTTCAGTTTCATGTATGAATTGTCAGGAGTCTGAGGTTTTGGCCACTTGGATCTCATGCTGGGTTTTGTTTTTCAAGCAGGCCTGAAGTGATGCTTGGTAGTTTATTGCCTCGCCCTGTTTACAAAACAACAATCCAAGGGAGTTGTGTCTTCCAGAGAAGAACAAACCCAATGTCACAGGGGAATGCCACACTGCAATATAAATGTTACTGCATAAATCAGTTATCTTGGATTTCTGCTTTGTGAGACCCTGCATTATGTTTATGTAGCATCGGAAAATTTCCCATGATGTGAGTGTCAGGTGGCTGCAAGTGGCCAAGTGGTTCTCTGCATTTTCAAGATAAGGTTAGCAAAAATCCCATTGAGTTGGGATGTGCTTGGTCAGTACTACAGAGTTAAATGCTGTTTCACCAGCTTTGAACCAGCCTGTCGTGCAATGTCAGAGGGGTGCAAGGTGCGTATTACAGATTCTCATGTTTCATGCTCTCACCCTCCCCAGCCCACACGCTCCAGATCTGTAATTAATGGTTGGTTTGAGGGACAGAATCTCCAAGGTATTTAGGTATGTGGAAGTCATATACTGCTGAGACATTCATAATCATGTAGAATGCCAAATCTATGTTTTCAAAGTCTCAGTAGATGCCTGTTGCCTCTCTAGGTGTCTAAGTGCTTTCCTGAATCTAGCCTAAGATGTGAAATCTGAAATTTCTGGAACCAGAAGGTCTGGTTATTACTAGTTGGCATTGTGGTAGCCTAGTAGGGTAAGAAAGATAAAGGTCCTCTCGGATACTATCTGGGCAACGAGGAGAGCATGGTTGATACCTTATTGCTACCTTATTGATGTGATGCTGCCTGTCACCAAACTCATCTGTGTATGTCTTAAGCTTCATGACACTGATCTTCAAAATTCCCATGTGGATGGGAGGGGACTGCTTGCCAGAGAAGGAAGAGAGATATCTTTGTGTATTCCTTTTTCCACAAAGGAAATTTATTGCAGAATAGATTTGAAATCACTTGAAAGTTCCTGACAGTACTCCAATTACAAGTTATACAACTTTCTGTCCTCTGCTTTGACTGTTATGTTGTTGATTTTGTTGTTGTTTTTGCATCCTAACATTAGACTGTATTTGCTGGGAAGAAGATGTTTTTAAACCACCTGAGAATTATAGTACAAAAGTCTTTGGACTCAATCTAAGAAATCCACAAGGCTCTAGCCTCTTCTGTCAGCATAAAGTGTGGCATGGCAGATTTCTGGGTCTCTCTGCTCGGCTGTCCTCCCCAGACCTGGCTACACTGCAGTGGTCTGCCTATGTCTGTGATTAGTGTCCTGTGGAAGGGAAGACCCTGTGTGCATAATTTCTTGAGTTGACTCTTACAACATTACCACTACTGTTTCTCCACAGGCCTGAAAGATGACAAGGATCTGAAGTTCCTCCTGAAAGGCAGCCAGCTGCTAAAAGTGAAGTCAGGCTCTTGGAGAAAGGAGCGGTTTTATAAGCTCCAGGAGGACTGCAAAACCATATGGCAGGAATCGAAGAAGATGCTGAGGTCTCCAGAGTCACAGATCTGTAAGTAAATTTTGCTTCATCGCAGGTGTGGGACACTGTGGGCAGAGATGCTTGGGGTGAACCAGGACCATCATGCTTGTGGTGTGAAGGCAGGGCTTGGAGCAATGAGATCAGATCCCTCACACCTCCTGTAACACACAGAGTGATGCTGTCAGCTTTGGAGACAGCTGGGAGGAATCTGCAGAGTCAGGAATGGCCACATTTCCCAAACTCATGAGCTACCACTTAAAATTGTTGTGGGGTGGGCCGCACTGGGCTCAGCAGCCTTGCCTGTCTCGTTTCCTCCCCAAAGCAAGAGTTTAGGTTACTCAGGTGCCCGAGCCCTAATGCTCGGTGTGAGACATGGCTTGAGCATCTGCGGTGTGGTATGGTGCGCTTGGGCTGTTGGACTGAGCTGTGCCAGGACACCTCTTTTCTGCCTGCATCCCCTGGGAAAGCTGGCATTTAAGCCTCGTAAGGGAACCACAGAGATGTGGAGATCCAAGGGCTCGCAGAAGGTCTCTCTGGGAAGGAAAGCCTGTTCTCATCCGTATCTTGGAAACTCAGAATCTGCCCCATTGTAAAAAGTCCAGATACGACATTCACCATTGTATGGACACAGAGAAAACCATTCTGTGCCAGCATCACCTAGCTTGGGACCATAATTGGGACCAGAAGCCCAACTGTGCAGTCAAAATGGGATCAGGCAGAGTGTGTATCTGTTTATCTCTGTTTATATCTGTTTTTTCTTCTCATTTGGTATTTTTCTGACGTATTTCTCTGTCACTAATCATCACAGTCTTGTAAATCCAGGAGGTAAATGAATAATGTGGAATATATTTTATGCCATGTTGAAATGTAGAACACGCTGTGTTATTTACACAATTTTTTTGGTAACAATCACAATTAACTAAATGAAGGGTGGGTCTTCCAAATTATCCCCCTCCCACAAGCAGTGATAAGATCTTCAGTAGGAGGAGTAAGATAGCAGGGCAAAATAGATTTGGTTTATAATCCAGACAGCCACACTCTTCTCACATGACCTTGGGCACCTTATTTAATTTCTTTGTGCATCCTTCCCCATGCATTTTCTTTCTCCTCCTCTATCTAGCTATAAAAGGCTTTGGATTAGAGGCTGTCCCTTACTGTGTGTTTGCATGCCCAGCATGGCAGGGTCCTGAGCTCAGCTGGGCTGTTTAGGTACATGCAATAACCCATGATAAAAACAACAAATGCAGAAGCCTTAGTGAACATTTGCTCCTCCCGAGGAATGCCTGCTCTGTTGAGCTCTGTCCCATATAAAAGCAAAGTCCCAGATAATGTCTTGCTGTAAAACAAACAAGGGCATGAGTTGAGAAGACTGACTTTCAGAGCTTGCTTTCCTGTGCTCTGAGCCAGCAGTTTCCACATTATGGGGGCTGAGAACAACTCCAGTAACATTCCTGACCCCACCTGGTCCTTGAAGTAAATGGGAGGGGGGTCCTTGTGCTGTGGCTCTAGGGACCTTGAGGTCTGCTTGGAGAAGCACTGGTCGAACCCATTGCCTTCATTGCTGGGGCAGTGGCATGGAGAGCTGGCGCAACTGTAACATTTTTACATACTAAGCTGCAATAAGAGTCCTGCAGCGAGATCAGATCCTTTGAGCTGGGTGTTGGGCACAGGGTGGGAGTGTGTGGGTGTGGATTTACAGCACTGAAGATACACTTTGCTGACTGGGCACAACCAACATTGCCACACTGCCAGAGACAGAGGCAGTGCCACTGCAGGAAGGAGAACTTACTGTGCTCTGGGAGTGTTCTCAGTGCAAAGTGAAGGTGGAGTAATATTGCCTACCGACTCACGCCCGCACACATGCTCCATAATGCCTCTATGCATGCACACCTTTCCCCCGAGAAAGATTCCTTTTTTTATCATTGGGGTAGCAGGAAGGGAGTCAAAGCAGTCGAGGCAGAGCTTGTCCTTGCTGCTCTGAAAAAGCAAGCTCTGGCAGGGCTCTGGCCGGGCTGGCTTTGCACCTGTACGCCTGGCTGGCTGTGGGAGCGTGCCTGGTGCCAGGTTGACCTACCAAGTGTGCTGGGGCAGGCTATGTCCCACATGCTCCTGGGAGGATGTGAAGCTGTGCCTGCAGTTGTGGCGCAAGCTTGTGGGAGGGTTGAAGGGCCACCTCGGGGCTGCTTTCAACAGGTGCTGTGGACACACCTGAACCTGGAAGTCAACAAGAGAGATGAGTACTGACTGGACTGACGCCTGCCCAGTCCCAAGCCATAACCCCAAGGACATCCATTTTCTCATGCCTTTCTCCTCTGTTGGTTCTCTGAGACCTTCCATTCCCAAGTTTTCAGAGTCATTGCTGGGTTTGAGTTTCTTTCTCGAGCTTTTAACTTCAGCAGGCTGCTTTGGGTTTAGGTATAGAGAGGATTACCCTGGTGAGTGTTGTGTCCTCTGGTGGGCTCTATCACTACAGCTGCCTTCTCATTTGGTCTGGTGTGAGAAGGCAGTCAAATCAGAGGAAGAGTGCAGGGTTATGATTTGATACTCAAAATCAGGGACTTCAAGGCAAGTCCCTCCAGAGGGTCACCCTTCTTTGTTAACAGACGGTAACTTTGCCCTCCAGTACAAAGCCTTTCTAAAACTGCAGATAAGCTGCCTTTTTTAGGAAGGAAAAAGAATGACCAGAATGGAAACTGGGAGGTTTTAGCAGCAGGTCTAATCTTATCTGCAGCGTTGCTGACAGCAAGCAGATGGAGGCACCTCAGAGGAGCAAAGTCTGGGTAGGGTAAGGGTTATGGTTTTGTTTGGACAGTTTCCTGTTATTCCTGTTACTGTTCTTATAATCATGCAGAAAAGCTATTTTGTAAACCATTGTGTGATGGTTTCTAGTAGATAAAACTGGGGACTGTCAAGGTAGACAGAAGAATCTCAGATCCTGAAGTTAAAAAACCCCAACATATCAGGGTTGTCACAGGCACAGACGTTGCCTGGGTCGGATACATGGGGTACAACCAGTACCTTCCTCTGTTGTCTTTATTTTAAACAATTGGAAATCTAGATTGGATGCTGTCTTGATAGCTGTATTACCCACAAGGCTTTTTGGGGGATAGGCTGCCATGCAAGTGGAACATAATCCGTTTTTTCCTTATTATCCATAATCCATTATTCTTCAGTATGTTCCATTTAGGCCCAAGGGAACAGCTTTTTTCCAAAAGCCCTTGAAGCATCTTAAGTGGGCAGTTTTCCAACAAACACGTTATGCCCTGTGCTTACTGTCTGGTCAGCTCCCACAGAAACATAGGAGTGCTGTGCACGAAGGGCTGCACAAAAGCACCTTTAAAAATCCATTTTTCACCATAGCCTGCTACATCCTGTGTCTGAGCTGCATACCGGACCCATAAACGCACTGCTGTTCTCTGTTGTCTTAAATGTTGTGTAGAGCCACGGTCAGGGTGGATGGTTCTTTGGCCCGTGAAGTTTTTACACATGGGACAGCTTTCTCTGTGGGGCCAAGACAACAGGGTTCAAGTGGCAGGATAAACAGTTTTGGAGCAAAGAAAAGGTTTGTGCAAGGAGGCTGGTAAACAGCCAGTTCATTCAGAGCCAGTTCACTCCTGAGCGTCACTATGGTGGGAGGGAGGGGAGCCAAAGGAGGCAGAGGGGCTTGTGTTCAAAGAGCAGCAGCCTGTCAGTAACACTGTCTTGTTTAGCTGTGGTCAAATATCAGGTCTCATCTATGTGAAAAAAAGAGCAAAAAGGCATGTGCTGCTTTCAGTGAAATCGATTTTTGAAAGTCTTTTCTTAAACCAGCTGAAATCCCTAGCGTGAGCTCACTTAAGCCAGACTCAATCCCTTTAAAAACTCTCTGAACTTGGGGATTTGTAGGGATGGTTGAAAACTTTCCAGTGAAACATCCTTTTGAGCGTTTGGTGGAGAAGCAGAATGTTCAAAGCCAGAAGGAAAAGACTGAATGAGTTGTTTAGATTTAGGGGTGCTATAGTGGAGCCCGGGAGAAGCTGGTGCTTTGCTACCTCCTGCATTCTTTCTCTGCTGGAGGCTCAGGGAGATGACGTTTCCCATGACAGCCATGAGCGGGTTTCACACACTGCACCAAGGATGACTCACTGGGGGTGCGTCATTGAGTCAAGAGAAGTGCAGTCAAGAAAGAAGTTCAGGAGTTTTGGCTGAAATATTTCCATTTCTGGCCAAAAGCTTTATTGAAAAACTACTGTTGTTGGGTTTTTTTCTGTATTTTGCTTAAAAGAATCAGTTTTGCGAGCAATTTACAGAGGTGAGCTAAATTCAGTTGCACAACTCAATATTGCAAGTGATGATTGTATTATTATTTAAAATAATGAAATTCACATTTTGATCTAATGATTAATTATCCTCACTGTTAAAAATGCACAGAATTTGTTCCAGTTCATCTGACTTCCAGCCCAATTATAGGATGTTTTTGCATGGTTTAAACATAGTACAAAAGCTTTATGTTTATAGCCTACTACCAGTGTTCATCAGAAAACTTTTTCGTTCATTTTTGAGTTTCTGTGAAATTTAGGAATGCCCTTAAAATGCCATGTGATGAACACACCGTACCATTTTTGTGGAAGAATGAACGATTGTCTCCATTGAATCAATGCCCTGAACTTGCTTGCGGAAGAACAGAAAGGATGTGATAATTGCTCTGTGCTTGCAAGAAGTGAAAACTTTAAATTGTTCCTGATAAGTGCCTAAAGTCAACAGAAACTCTCAGCAACCTGTATACACACAGCAGGCAGCTGACTGCACCGACACCTTCCTTCTGGAGCTGGTTAGGCAGTTTCTTTAGGAATCATTGCTTCATGGTCAGGCATGTATTTGTCCCTGGAAAAACATTTGCTGATGTGAGTGTATTATGCAAGGCGGCCGTCAGCTGTGAAAACAAAACCGTCTGTCTGTGGGTCTCATTAGTTGTTATCAAAATAACTCAACCCATAAACCAAGTAATTTCAAATGCAGAGCTGCCTGTTTTTTCGATTTAATTTTGAATG